TTGCAACAATGCCACCCTATTTTAGTATTAGTATTATAGTTAGTTTAGGGAACTGTCCTGCAGCACACAGGAGTACAGGCCAAGGTGCCATTACATTGCATTTATTTTTATCCATTGATCAAACAAAGCACATTACAAAACTTGCGATTGAAAGAGACTATTTTTAAAATAATTAGTTCCCACAGACACACACGAGCAGCCTGACAGACAAGAACCAGGGAAAATACAGTGCGCTGAGCATGTGACCAGAGCATTCGCTTGCTGCCCGCTCAAAGCCTGCACTCCACGACAACGTTTTATCTTTTTGACTGATATAGTTAAAAAAGTGCACATCTCCACCGGTAAAACAAATTCCTCGCCTCTGGCTCTGTCATGTTGCTTTACAAACAAACGCACGCAGCAGTGGTGCAACTTTCCGCTGCTTTCCCGAGGCTGGTGCCGCCAGTAACGAAGTATTTAGGTAGTAACTGTAATATAATTAAACATATTTTCATAGTAACGCGTTACACTACTACGTTACTCAAATTGTAATTTCTTTACAGTAACGTGTTACTTAGTAACAGTGGTGACTTCAGAGTAAACAATCATGGAGGACAAAGAGAATGCAGTGGCGATAGTTTGCAGTTTGTTTTTAACAGAGAAAAAGTGTTATCAAAGGAGAAGGCGATGGTCAAAGAAGTGGAGACAACACGAGCATGGATTATATATTTAATCCATTGATTTATGATTTTTTTTTCGGCGTTTCCTCACTGCCTTGTCACCTCGTCTTCTGATTGGCTACACGCTGGTCCACTGGTCCACTCGTCTGTCCCCGACACCACACACGAAGAGAAATCGGGCCAAAACAATCCAACATGTTGGATATCCCCGATTTGAGATCGGAGCAGTCCCCGACGCAGTCTTAACACACCACACACGGAAAACCCATCAGATGTTTTTTTACGAAAATCGGCCTAATTGTCCTGCCGTGTAAACCAGGCTTAAAATGTGTCTATTAAGAATTGTAGTGCTAAATAACTCCATGACTCCATGGGCTTTAGGCTGAAGGCCAGACTCATACAGCCGAGCCCCTAATACAACTGTGACAAACGTCCAAAGATGACACATTATACAGTTTCTCATGTACCAACGACGGAAACATGTAGAAAAAAACTTCCATAATCAGAGTTATTAACCATAATCCTATGAATGTTTTCTATACTTCTCCATAATATTTGACCAGTTCAAACATGATGTGAATGTTTGGAGGATAAAAGTCTACACTCTTGTATAAACTTCTTTTTCCCACACGACCAGTCCCCCCAACACCTTCATCCAGTTCTGTTGTTTTCATTGTTTTTAATCATTCTAATGTTTCTTAAATTGCACAGTGTTTGGAAACATGTTTGTACAGTATCCAGGCGCTTTTAAATAAAATGTATTATTATTATTATTGGCTTTAACTAGGGATGTAATCGGTGACCGTTTAACCGGTGGTTGACCGTCACAGCGTTAACCGGTCAAAGCTGTCGGTTAAAAAAGAGAAAAAGGGGAGAGGGGAGGTCTCTTAATAACGCTATTTTAAGCCCTATTTGCACGGTGTGACGAGCGGGTCTGTATCTAGCTGTGTGCGCCCATGTATTATAAACTCCGGGACGACTCTCACGCCGCAAGAGCCACATATGGGCGGCACGGTGGCTGAGTGGATAGCACTCTCGCCTCTCAGCAAGAAGGTCCTGGGTTCGAATCCCGGTCGGACCAGGGCCTTTCTGAGTGGAGTTTGCATGTTCTCCCCGTGTCTGCGTAGGTTTCCTCCGGGTACTCCGGTTTCCCCTACCACTAAAAACATGTCCAATAGTTCTGGCATGCGCCTCCTGTACTGGCGACCCGGCTCCCATCTCTGTGTGGAGTGAGAGACAAATGCCCAAAAATTAACAATTGTAAACCGCTTTGAGACTCAGATCTGCAGTGAAAAGGCGGTATATAAATAAAAAACTTACTTACTCACTTACTTACATATGCACACACGCACGCGCACACACACACACACACACACATACACACACACACACACACACATATACATACACACACACATATACATACACACACATACAGGTCTGTCGCGCTCCTCTGTGTCACGGAGCCCAAAGGATTCGCGCAAATACGCGGCTCCAGTCAAACCACATGGAACATGTTTGTGTTTATGGTCCTCGGGATCAGCTCCACACACATCACTTGTATTTAAACTTTTGTGAAGACCTGTGAGACGCGGCTCGTCACTCGCTGCTCTGACCATGTGAACGAGCCGTCGTTTGCTGCTAGAAAGTTTTGGTATTAACCCGCAGCACAGCAGAATGGGAAGATTAAAAAAGCAGTTCTCTGTGCGCAAAGGTGCCGGAGCTGTTGCGGGTTTTGGCGCCGCTGTCTCAACTCTGATCCAGTAGAACGCAGAGCTGCACTTATGAAAAGTACGCGGCTCGAAATGGCTGTTATTTCAAAGAACGTGGACTATTTTAAACTACGCGGTTAACCGGTTTCAACCGGTTAATGAGGCTCGGTGGTCGGTCGTGAAAATTCATAGTTTTTTACATCCCTAGCTTTAACTGATCAGGGTCTGTACTTTATACTGTATGTGGTTACGATCATCTGTGTGTAGTCTCCCGTCACCATGGCGATGCTCATTAGCCAAGTGAAGGTCACGGTGGAGACAGCACTTGTGATATTTGTTGACATTTTGCAAATGGACACAAACTCCCAGCAGACCAGGCTCACCGCGACCAAGAGCAGAACTACTTTTTATGAACATCCCTCGTCCCCAGTCCGGTTTGTGTTTTTCTGAGAGCTTTAATTAACGATTGTCATGACATTCGATTAGTTGTTATTATCATTCGATTAATCGATTAGTTGTTTGATCCGAAAGCTCAGTGAATATGGGACTTTCTGTACAGTTGACCAAAACAAAACTCAGGTGATGTTTCCCCAAAAAAATCTTCATAGAAAGGACTTGTTACACTTTGGGTTTGATTAAAAATACTTTAACACATACTAATAATAACTTAACAGTCATTATAGAATTATCAGTCGTCCTTTGAATAATTGATTCCTTGTGATTAATTGATGTTTTGTAACAGGACGGTGGCTCAGCTGAATGTCAGTTGTTTTAAAATAACTGTATCTGAAGAGAACGAAAAGGTCCTTGTCCGACTCAGGACATGATTCTCATGATCCGGTGAGGGCAGAGTCGACTCCATGAGTCCAGGGGACGCTCAGAATGAGGATTTTCTCCTAAAAGCAGTGGAGTTCAAAGACTTGAGGAAGAGGAGCGTGTGAAGGTTGCAGGGTGCGTCTGATCGGAGAACAGTGCTGCATATGAATGACTCCAACAATGCAGAAGAGGAGTCGGCTTGTTTGCCCCGAGTCTCTCGTCTCTCTCTTTCTTGCTGGAGATGATAGACAGCACTGGCTTTGACACAGAATGTGATTCATTAGGGTTGTCACTGCTGTCATGTCACGCGACATCACAGAGCAGAGGATATCTGGCAACACTATGCAGCGACACGCAAGTGACGGAGCGCGGCTATAATAACATTACAGACGTCCTCATGATGCCACTCACAGACTCTATTGAATACATTTATTTACACTTTTATGACTTTAAAAATCCTCAGAGAGATGAGGAGTGAAGTGTTGACCCACACTTCCCTGAATCTGAATCTGAATTTGGTCAAATGTAATTTGACATTCATACAATCCAGTCGTCTGCTAACAAGCTGCCATCTGTACCAAATCAGAACCAAAGATGATTAAAAGGCATGTTACATTTTTAAGAAAGGATTAGAAATGGTCTAATTTTCCATGAAAGTATTATTACAATGTTTTCTGTATCACTAAACTCTTCAGGGTTTTACTGATCCAGAGCAGAGAAACTGCCCTGAACCAAACAGACTCTGCCTCCACCAGAGAAAAGGCTTTGAGGAAGCAGCAGGGACTCAACAGGAGCCCTGAACTCTGTTCTCACTGACCAGGCTCCAGGCTCCAGGCTCCAGGCTCTGAGGGAGATCCATTAAACGACAGAATCCACCACTGCTCTTCAAAGCCTGGTCAGTATGACCGATCCTGCAGGAGCTCCACCTGGTGTCTGTCTGAGGACACCTGTGCCCATGAAGAGAGACCCCTCCAGCTGCCCCACACCTCACCGCTGGGTTTAATCCTGGGTTTTATGTCTAGATTAGATTATACTATGTTCCTTTTGGTTGTATGTAAATATCTCTTGTCTGTGAAGGATGAATCTCTCTGTGGGATGAATAATCCATGTTTCTATTCAGTCTTCACATAAATAAATCCACTCTTGGCACTGGCATAACATGCAAAGTCTACTGCTCTCCTCAGAAGTAAATAACATGATGTGGTCAAGCCTTAGAAAATATGTGTACGATGCAACCGCATGCAAAATTCATGACTTTATCACTTATGAATGAGATGTATTCTCCGAACTCCACGCTGTGAAAGCAAACATCAGGAGGATGATAATTCAGTACACAACTGCTCCTGCCGCTCCTCTCCTCCTCTCCTCTCCTGCCGCTCCTCTCCTCCTCTCCTCTCCTGCCGCTCCTCTCCTCCTCTCCTCTCCTCCGCTCCTCTCCTCTCCTCCTCTCCTCTCCTCCTCTCCTCCGCTCCTCTCCTCTCCTCCTCTCCTCTCCTCCTCTCCTCCGCTCCTCTCCTCTCCTCTCCTCCGCTCTGTAGTTAGTTACAGCTCAAATATTAGCTCAAAGCAGTGCGCCGCGATGAGCTCCGAGCAATAATAGAATACAATCACAGTCCTCTCTGTCACTACTCGTCTTCATCAGCCTCTGGAGTTCAAACGAAAGGAGCAGGTGCACAGGGGACCATCACACACACACACACAGACACACAGACACACACTATACTACACACACTCTTTACAAATGCTGCATATTTAAAGCTCTTTGAAGAGGTGTGTAGTGAAGTCGTAGCCTGTGTGGAGTCAGCTGTCCTACCTTGGTCTCCCTGCTTAATTTCTAATCCGTCCAGAGAGTTGACCGAGTCTCCTTCCTCCAGAGAGAGCCTTCTGAAGAGGCTCCCGGCCATTCTGAGCTGCACCGCACTACAGTACGCCCCGCACTACAGCACGCCCCGCACTACAGCACGCCCCGCGTACGCTCCCAGCTCGCGCTCTTCCCTCTCCCCTCCTTCACTCCCTCCTCCGCTGACGTGAACGAGCATAAGCGCCTCTCCCGGTGAATGAACAGAGCCCAGGCAGAGTGCTGTGCGGGGATGGGAGGGGCGAGGAGGAGGGGGAGGAGGAGGGGGAGGAGGGGGAGGAGGAGGCGGTGCTTTTCATCGCTACAGGCTTCCCTTTGGGGACAGTGAGGGATGAGGCTGCTTCACGTACGGCCAATACACACACACACAGACACACACACACACACACACACACACACATACACGTTTTTGTTACCTGGTGGGTCCCTTTGACAGGGCCGTTCAGAATGGGACCCATAGACATAATCTTTTTTTACTGGGACTACTTTAAGTAATACAAAACAGTCAATAGAAACCAAACAACTATTTTAAAGGAATTTTATTTTAGATTTTGTTTTCGAATTGCAGTGATTCTATTTTTGACATAGAATTTAATGCCACTCCATGTCCGATGTCTAAGGTCATCTGGTGAGGCATTAATGCAGGCCAGGCAGTGAGACTTCCCAGGGACCTTTCCAGTCTGTATGAAAGGTGTCATGGTCTTCTCCACAGCCTTCACCTCAGATGCAGACCATGGCTTTCTTACACGTTCTAGGGAGAGAAATAAAAATATATTAGCAATATACACTCCCAGGGTGAGGACCAAGCAGCCTGGCTGTAATCCCCCACCTGGTACACTTACCAGAAGGGGCACTGCCACTACCATGGGGTGCATCTGGATGAATGGTTGAAGGTTCTCCGCTTGAAGTTTCTTTTAGCCCGTCCGTTTGTGAGAGGATCTCTACTGCTCTCCCTGTCGCACAGAAAATAAAAATACAAGTGGCCTTTAGGGGAAAAAAATCATACATATTTTAATAATATCAAGAATTACCTTCAGGCTCAATTTGTATCTGGTCGAGGCTCTTTCCTTCGAATTCCGTCACTCTTCCCTGCTCCATGGCCATCAACACTTTGCTGATTTTGGCCAGCTCCAGTGTCCCCTCTGGTAGTCTGTAATATTGCCTGTGGATGCGAATGTCATGGCCGAGGAAGTTGGCAAGTATGTCCATTTCATTCTCTTTCATATTGAGAACTGTAGACATAGTAGCTATGTGCTTTCTAAGTTTGGTTGAGGATAGCATCTCTGGATGCACCGCACCACATTCTTTGGCTACCTGGCGTAGGGAGTCTGATCCCCTGATGTGGGTGTCTGCGCCCGGGCGGGAAAAGAAGTATGGGTTATGGTCAGAGATGGAACAGGCCCTTCTGTTCTCCACCAGCACCTCCATCGAAGCAATCATTTCAGGAGTCAAAAGAACCACCACTTTCCGACTTCTTTTCCCTTTAATTTCAATGCGTTGAAAATGCTGACACAGCTTTTTCTCAAGTTGGGACAGTCCCAGAGCAATGTCAGAATGGATCCCAGTCTTACTTCTTAAGGTAAAGGCTGTCAGTGGCATCTTTGAAACCTCACCTTCCCTTCTTCGATTGAAAATGATGACCTCACAAAGAGTCAAAACTGCCAGTTTAGACCAATGCTTAGACGTTGGCTCACTTATTAGGGTTTGCACATATTCAGGTCGACATACCTCAATATGTGCATGCATGGCTCTAACGTCCTCAGTCAGAGGGAGCAGGTCCGGAGTGTTCCACTTGGCTTGCCGGAGGGTCTGTAGGGCAGCAGAAGAAACACAGACGTCCCACCTCTTCTCAAAAAGCAGCCGGCTTCGTTGGAGGTTTTTAATAAATAGTTCATCAACACAATGCTCCATTTTTGAGTCACATTCAAGAATATCTGCTAGCTTTCTGAGGCTATGGCCGAGTTTGAGGGCCAAGGATGGAGTCTTGTATTGATTTGTTTCCTCATCATATCCAGCCACAGACCTGACTGCATCAATCACATGGTTAAAGTTGGAAGGAATAAAGAAATCCTTAATTGTTTTCAGTTTCCCTGCGGTTTTTGCTTCGTTAATTAACCTACCGACTTCTCTCATTTTCTGCCTAATGTAATCATGCTTAGTCTTATCATGCCCGTGTTTTAAGTACAGGTGCTCTCCGAGTCTCAGAATCCCCTTTTCTGCTTTGACAACACCCGTGACCTCATCCTGATGCATTGCCGAAATTAAAGACCACAGCTTTTTGCTGATGCCCTCCGGTACAGGCTGGGCTAGGGAGCAGAGGGACTGGACCCTACTTCTACCTGGTTTAGCCTGGGCATCTTTCTGTGAAAGCCGGCACCTGGCCACATGCCTCCACAGCGACTTTCGCTTAAGCAATGCCCCACAGTCTATACAGTGCAAAAACTCACTGGATTTAACTGGGGAATTTGGCTGTTTAGCTGGGACTAAAGTTCCAATGCCGGCGTTTAAAACCTCAAAATTGTGCTCACGGTTTCCACTATTCCTGATCAAATCAAACTGAAGTTTACGTGCTTTAGACTTCACAGGTAGAGCCAATGCTCTGGCTACGTCACTTTCATTTCCATGTTTTCTAGTCAAATGACGGGACATTTTGTGGCAGGACATTGAACAGTAGAGGCAGAAGTGTCTCTTGCTGTAAACCCTGCCCCCATTTTTCTTCTTTTGCAGCTGCATGATAACAATCTTATTTGCCTTTGGTTCGTCACTTTCCGAGTCTTGAAGAAAAGTGTTTTTGATTTTTCTTTTTCCATACTTTTTTACAGGTTTCTTCTTGACAGTTAAATCGTCAGAATCTGAGTCGACTTCATCAATTAGGGACTCTTGACTAAGCTGCACAAACAACAAATAATTTGTAATAATTCTATATAACAATTTGAAGTCATGACTTGTAGTCAGCACTTACCAGTGGGTTGTAAGCGTGCGCTTCAGTGTGCTCCTCCATGATTTCTTGCAGCCTAATGAACCACACACTTGCACCTTTTCACCTGACTTCCTCTGTTGTGCTGCTCCATGATTGGCTCCAGCCTGCTGGACTGAAATTGCCCCAGTGTGCCCCTCCTTGATATCCCGCAACCCACCACCAGGGTTCCGACACATAACACACTTTTTTCAGGAAAGTAAACCTCCAGGGGTCCTTTCCATATTTTTACAGAGACTGCATAAGGACCGTTAGAAAAGCATTACCCATTGATTATTAAGCTTGGACCAGTGGGGTCCGGTGTTCGGGCCCCACCACGTAAAACCAGTCCCCATGACGTGAGTGGAATCTCAGGTTATGGAACCCACCAGGAGTTGAAAACAAGTGCACACACACACACACTCACACACACACACACACAGAACCTGGACATAGAGCTAGTGTAAAGTATTGAATACAGCGGTGAACTCTGGGAGTGTTTGAGAATCTGACCCAGAGCAGCAGGAAACAGAGGAACACACGTCTTTTCACTCGTCACGTTTAGAATGTGGAGATTTTGAAACGATGGACTCATTTTAATCCAAACCCTGTCATCAGAGACCTAAAAACCTTCCTGTTTAAACCTGTTAGAGATTTATGAGCTTTTAACCCCTTCATGTTTGTTGATATTGTATGTACGTTTGAACTCATTTTTGTTTTTGTACTGTGAAGTTTCCTGGAGAATGTCGGGTTCAATATGAATAAAAACATTATTATTATTATTCATGCTTATTACACAACTTTTGACACATTTGTTCATTGAGTTAGAAAAATCCATTGTGAAAGCTGCGGTACCCAACTTTCAAGTAGTAATAGTAGTAATCTTTATTTATATACTGCCTTTTCACTGCACATCGGAGTCTCAAAGCGGTTTACAGTTGTTATTTTTGGGAGTGGGGGCGCCAGTACAGGAGGCACATGCCAGACCTATTGTACATATTTTTATTGGTAGGGCAAACCGGAGCACCCGGAGGAAACCTACGCAGACACAGGGAGAACATGCAAACTCCACTCAGAAAGGCCCTGGTCCAACCGGGATTCGAACCCAGGATCTTCTTGCTGAGAGGCGAGAGTGCTATCCACTCAGCCACCGTGCCGCCCATAAGTAGTTAAATCTTTTCTCTCATAACAGTTTGGTTCTAGCCTTTTTCAGACAAAAACGTGAAGAGAGAGGAATCAAAATAGTGGCTTAAGTTCTTACTACATGCAAGCTAACTTCTAATTCTGCAGAGACCACAGAGATAAAACTTAGGTACCCCAGCTTTAATGGCCAGCCCCCATGTTACTGTCACTGTGGAGGTGCGGCTTGTTTAGATGTATTGGTGCCACTGTGGGGAAGTCGTATCTCTTCATTTCTATTGTTATTGCTCTCTGATTCCGACTGCTGCTTTCAGAGAGAAAAACTCTGGCGGAATGTGTCTGTAAAAGGATATAATTGAGCTCCATGACTTTCTCTGACAAATGACGAAGGAGAAGAAGAAGAAGAATGTCGATACTTTGGCAGCGACCCTCGTTCGTCCTCTTTCAACCTGAACAAAAATCGTTTCGGTCAAAGACGCGTTTTCTAAAGCGCCGCGTTGTTGGCGGTGTTTAGTCCGAATGTCGTTCACTCAGACTCTGCTAAAGTGAACACATCAGCAGGGACTGGAGCCCATTACCTCCCGCTCCACGGACTGCTGCTCTCCCCTCTCTCTCTTTCCTCTCTCTCTCTCTCTCTCTTTCCTCATCTCTCCTCAACAAAAAACCAGGACTTCTTCAGACAACACACTCTCACTTCACCATCCCTCAGACCAGGCATTCTCATGGTTTACAAAGTGTAGTACTCCCCCTCCTCTCTCTCTTCTCTCTCCCCTCTATCCTTTCTCTTCTCCTCTCTCTCCCTCTTATCCTCTCTCCTCCTGTCCTCTCCCCTGCCCCCTCCTCTCCCTTTCCTCACTTCTCCCCTCTCTCCTCTTTCCTCCTCTCTCTCTCCCCTCTCTCCTCTTTCCTCCTCTCTCTCTCCCCTCTCTCCTCTCTCCTCGCCCATTTCTTACCCCTCTCGCTCCTCTCCCCTCTCTTTCCTCACTTCACACCTCTCCTCCTCTCTCCTCAAAAAACCAGGACGTCTTCAGACAACACCCTCACTTCCCCCTCCCCTCAGACCAGGGTCAGGCCTCCTCAGGGTTTACAAAGTGTATTAAAGTTTATTATTAATTGATTGAAGAGAAAAACAGACTGCTCCTCCCTCTCCCCCTCCCCTCTCTCTTCACTCCTCCCTCTCTCCTCTCCACTGTCTCCTTCCCCTCACTTCTCTCCTCGCTCTCCTCTCTCTCTCTCTTTCCTCATCTCTCCTCCACAATAAACCAGGACTTCCCCCTCCCCTCAGACCAGGGTCAGGCCTTCTCAGTGTTAACAAAGAGTATTACCTCCCTCCCTCTCCTCTCTCTTCTCTCTCTCCTGTCCCCTCTCCTCTTTCCTCACTTCTATCCCCTCCCTCCTCTCTCTTCTTCAGATAACACACTCTCCCTTCCCCTCCCCTCAGACCAGGCCTTCTCAGAGTTTACAAAGTTTCGTTTTTAAAAAACCGAATAGGACACATCCTGAAGCCTTTACTTTCAGAAACATGGAGATACAGGAGCAGAAGTCCATGTCCCACATTATCTCTGCTGCACTGGACCACAACAGATATTTGCACATTTCAGAGCATTATTTTAAACAATATCATACAATTAAATCTGGGGTACTTAAACTTTCGAGTCACAAGAATATACTATGTAACTGAAGCTCTGAAAGCAGATTGGTTCATCATAAAAATAAAAAGTATAAGGTCTGTGTTTATGGCAAAACATCAACCGATTTCTGAACACCAGACTGATATCAGCGATTAATAAATAGTCATTTACTTCAAATCTGGTTCTGTTTCGCTGCAACAACTGAAGGACGGTATCTTCACTCTTTTAAATGTATTGTGTTATTGTATTTTCTTGTGTGGTTCAAACGTTTATTTTCTTGTTTGTTAAGTTTCTTTGTATCGCAGAGACAACAGAACTCGCCTCGCCATCTTTGCCGACACATCCATAATACTAAATAATAATAAAACATAATAGCA